AACCATATGTTCACTAACATAGAACACTAGCTAAATGTTGACTGACATAGAAAACTAACCATATGTTCACTAACATAGAACACTAGCTAAATGTTGACTGACATAGAAAACTAACCATATGTTCACTAACATAGAAACACTAGCTAAATGTTGACTGACATAGAAAACTAACCATATGTTCACTAACATAGAACACTAGCTAAATGTTGACTGACATAGAAAACTAACCATATGTTTACTAACATAGAACACTAGCTAAATGTTGACTGACATAGAAAACTAACCATATGTTCACTAACATAGAACACTAGCTAAATGTTGACTGACATAGAAAACTAACCATATGTTCACTAACATAGAACACTAGCTAAATGTTGACTGACATAGAAAACTAACCATATGTTCACTAACATAGAACACTAGCTAAATGTTGACTGACATAGAAAACTAACCATATGTTCACTAACATAGAACACTAGCTAAATGTTGACTGACATAGAAAACTAACCATATGTTCACTAACATAGAACACTAGCTAAATGTTGACTGACATAGAAAACCAAACAGATGTTGACTGTTATAGGACACTAACAAAATTCACATCCATCTTACCTGACACAACCAACTCATCTCACAAACACACACACAACACACACACACACCACACACACAGAACACACATAAACCACACACACACACACACACACCACACACACCACACATACACACACAACACACACAAGACACACACACATTACACACACATGCACGCAAACACACAACACACACACACACACACCACACATACAGACACAAATCACACACACACACACCCACACATGCTCACGCGCACTCTCGCGCACACGCACGCACACACACACAAACTAACGCTCACCTGCATAGGCGTACAATTAGAGGAGATGGTTGTGAACCCGACGATGTCAGAGAAGTAAATACTGACAGAATCATAGGTTTCTGCCTCTACAGTTTCTCCCACCCTCAGTTTGTCAGCCACCACTCGCGGCAACATCTGATACAGCAGGTTGACTGTCAGCTGTGCGTAATACAAGCAAAAGTCGTCATGTTTTCATGGAACAGTTTAGTCTTAACACAAGTTGATCTGCATAAATACTGTACTGACAGACGAGCTACATAAATAGGCTTTAGTTGTACAGACAGTTGAGCTACATAAATAGTCTACAGTTGTACAGACAGTTGAGCTACCTAAATAGTCTACAGTTGTACAGACAGTTGAGCTACATAAATAGCCTACAGTTGTACAGACAGTTGAACTACATAAATAGCCTACAGTTGTACAGACAGTTGAGCTACATAAATAGCCTACAGTTGTACTGACAGACGAGCTACATAAATAGTTTACAGTTGTACAGACAATTGAGCTACATAAATAGCCTCAGCTGTACAGACAGTTGAGCTACATAAATAGTCTACAGTTGTACAGACAGATGAGCTACATAAATAGTCTACAGCTGTACAGACAGTTGAAAGACATAAATAGTCTACAGTTGTACAGACAGTTGAAAGACATAAATAGTCTACAGTTGTACAGACAGCTGAACTACATAAATAAACTTCCGGTCAAAATGGACGCAAGGCCTGTGAAAGTTTAGAGCCTAGGCACATTGTTTGCTTCTGCCAGACGGTGGCCGTTGCATTTTTGCTTTATTTGTAGACTCAAAGGATATAGTTTTTTCGTCGCCCAGCTTCTGAGGCAAATGCATGGCGTGACACTGTCAGCTGCGGATTTCATTTGGAATGTTTTTTCGATTGTGACCAACGTGCTGGTGTGAATTGTAGATTCAGAAAATGGCGCCATGCCTGTTGTCGCAATGTTGGTGATGCCCTTATGTGATTAAAATTGATCGCGTGTGCAACTGCTGATCTGTTGGTGACTTCTGCTACATTCCATGATGAACTGCATTTCTAATGTCGGGCTGTTTGTGTTAGCACTTTGGATGGCTACCGTATCTTTAAATGCGTGTGTATGCTAGATATGCTGAGACAGCAGTCTGTCAATCTTTTCACAAGGGACTGAGATAAACATTCTGAGTGTTTTTTGTTGGCACAGGAGAGGAGCAAGGATGTTGTGACCCGTTTTCTATGAAGCTGAAACTAAGACTACCAGACATAAATAGTCTACAGTTGTACAGACAGTTGAACTACAAAAGTAGTCTACAGTTGTACAGACAGTCGAACTACATAAATAGCCTTAGCTGTACAGACAGTTGAGCTTCATAAATACTCTACAGCTATACAGACAGTTGAGCTTCATAAATATAGTGCACTTCAAAACTCGTGAACTCACAATTTAACAAATATCTCTAAAACTGCTTTACTGATCAATATGTATTTGTGCACGTGCCTTAGATCTCCAATGTCCTTGTGATTTTATAAATTACAGTTGCATAGGTGCTGCTGTTTTCTTACAGAAGCGAATTTCTTAAAAAAAATTTTTTTTTGACATATAGAGTGTGTACTTTAAAAAAAATAGAATATACATTTAACTGACACGCGGGGAGATTGTTAGGAAATCCGTTAACATGTGCACAATACATGTGATTACATTGACAGCCTATCAGGCATACAATGGAGAAATAAAAACTCACGGTAGACTAATGCTGAGAATGACCACTGGAGACTGAAAAGCCTTTGACTTTTTGAAAAGCTCCTGCTACTCATTCAGCATCTCAACATGCTGATTGTTACTCGTAATTCTAACATACCGCAATCGAAACTCACTAATGGCTGCCGGGGATTTTATCATGGTATGGGGCGTCGCAGGTCGACCCAGCCTAAAATAGGTACCAGGAAGGATGTCCTGGGGAAGTAAAGACGGCCGGCGTAATGCTGACCACATTACCCACCTAATGCCGATTGGTCTGTAAAAATATGCGTGCTCTTTTCCTATGCCCGATGCGCCTGAAGGCATAAAGAGGGATCTTAACTTTTCACTTTTAGCTGAAAGGAAACCTCTCCACGGGTAATCCTCATCCGCATGGTGGCACTTTGTGTCACCGGGTGTTTATCGCTTGTCTGATGTCCTGGTGGGGTATAACAAAAGAAACAAAAAGTATGAGGCATCAGACAACTATGTGTAGTGCCAAACTACAGTGTGAGATGTCAAGTCAGCGATGTCAGATTTCAACCGATGAGAGCTGTCAAACACCAGTGTAAGGTGTCTTTGTCTATTATTAGCTTTCCCTTCCTTGAAAAACACACATTTATTCGCACTTTCTACCCCTAAATGTCTTGTTGGTGCTTTATTAATATTCTACCACAAACAGAGGAAATTGACAGGTCAAGGGGCAGTCTAATATTTCAGGGGGTGGTAGATAGTATGCAAGCTGTCGTGAGACCTAGGCTGCACTCTTGCGTGGGACGTAGGTGGGTTAGGGTTAGGGCCAGTTCTAGATGTTTTGGGGCCGTTAAACGCATCAGAAAGCCGGGAAACCCAATCTTACCATCCTGTAAAATATTGGACTGTCTTGTGACGTCATCTGGGGGTAGGATATTAATAAAGAACAGTCTGGTGTTCTTACCTCCCTCTCTTTGTACAACGCCTCCGTCTTACTCTCCAGCCAGTGAGTCTGTGCACAAACCCACTTGCCCATCTCACGCACCCGCAGGGAGACGATGACGCCTGTAGATACACCTACCACAGCGATCACCAGGTCTAGAATGACGCGCCTGAAAGAAGTAAATTAAAGTATCCTTTGCCAAGTATATTGGGTATATAGGGCTAGAATGATACTTTATAGACGAAACAGCACTTGGTCTTTACTTCCTAGGAATGTATCTGGTACCAACTCAAGGTTAGGTCGACCTGGGAGCCAAGGTCATTTTTGGAAAAAATCCGGCCCGCTTCAGAACCCGAATCCACGACCTTCTGATCCGCAAGTGGACGTCCAGCCGCTAAACCACGGCGGCTTACACGGGCCTGAAATATTATTCGTAAAAAATTACAACACACCCCTTCCCACAAACACACCTAGGCTCAAACACACAGCCCAGCACACACACCCACACACACCCCGAAACATAACTCTGCAAGCAAACACCCCTTCCCCCTCCCAGTTCACACACCCCAGCACACACATTCCAGTTCACATACCCAAACACACCCAAAATTACACACACACACATACATACACACACACACACCAAGCTCACACACCCCAGCTTACACAATCCAGCAAACACACACCGCAACACACACACATCACCCAGCTCACACACCTCAGCTCACAAATCCCAGCTTACACACCTCATCTCACAAAACCCAGCTCACAAACCCCAGCTCACAAACCCCAGCTCACAAATCCCAGCTTACAAACCCCAGCTCACAAACCACAGCTTACACACCCCAGCTCACACACCCCAGCTCACACACCTCAGCTCACAAACCCCAGCTCACACAACCTAGCTCACAAACCCCAGCTCACACACCCCAGCTCACACAACCTAGCTCACAAACCCCAGCTCACAAACCCCAGCTCACAAACCCCAGCTCACACAACCCAGCTCACTAACCCCAGGTCACAAACCCCAGCTCACAAACCACAGCTTACACACCCCAGCACACACACCCGAGCACACACACCCCAGCTCACACACCCGAGCACACATATCCCAGCTCACACACCCCAGCTCACACATCCAAGCTCACACATCCCAGCACACACACACACACAAGCTCACACACCCCAGCACAACCCCACCCCAGTTCACACACCCCAGCACACACATTCCAGTTCACATACCCAAACACACCCAAAATTACACACACACACATACACACACACACACACCAAGCTCACACACCCCAGCTTACACAATCCAGCAAACACACACCGCAACACACACACATCACCCAGCTCACACACCTCAGCTCACAAATCCCAGCTTACACACCCCATCTCACAAAACCCAGCTCACACACCCCAGCTCACACACCCCAGCTCACACACCCCAGCTCACACACCCCAGCTCACACACCTCAGCTCACAAACCCCAGCTCACACAACCTAGCTCACAAACCCCAGCTCACAAACCCCAGCTCACACACCCCAGCTCACACAACCTAGCTCACAAACCCCAGTTCACAAACCCCAGCTCACAAACCACAGCTTACACACCCCAGCTCACACACCCCAGCTCACACACCTCAGCTCACAAACCCCAGCTCACAAACCCCAGCTCACACAACCTAGCTCACAAACCCCAGCTCACAAACCCCAGCTCACACACCCCAGCTCACACAACCTAGCTCACAAACCCCAGTTCACAAACCCCAGCTCACAAACCACAGCTTACACACCCCAGCTCACACACCCCAGCTCACACACCTCAGCTCACAAACCCCAGCTCACAAACCCCAGCTCACACAACCTAGCTCACAAACCCCAGCTCACAAACCCCAGCTCACACACCCCAGCTCACACAACCTAGCTCACAAACCCCAGCTCACAAACCCCAGCTCACAAACCCCAGCTCACACAACCCAGCTCACTAACCCCAGGTCACAAACCCCAGCTCACAAACCACAGCTTACACACCCCAGCACACACACCCGAGCACACACACCCCAGCTCACACACCCCAGCTCACACATCCAAGCTCACACATCCCAGCACACACACACACACAAGCTCACACACCCCAGCACAACCCCACCCCAGCTCACACACCTCAGCTCACAAACCCCAGCTCACAAACCCCAGCTCACACAACCTAGCTCACAAACCCCAGCTCACAAACCCCAGCTCACACACCCCAGCTCACACAACCTAGCTCACAAACCCCAGTTCACAAACCCCAGCTCACAAACCACAGCTTACACACCCCAGCTCACACACCCCAGCTCACACACCTCAGCTCACAAACCCCAGCTCACAAACCCCAGCTCACACAACCTAGCTCACAAACCCCAGCTCACAAACCCCAGCTCACACACCCCAGCTCACACAACCTAGCTCACAAACCCCAGCTCACAAACCCCAGCTCACAAACCCCAGCTCACACAACCCAGCCCACTAACCCCAGGTCACAAACCCCAGCTCACAAACCACAGCTTACACACCCCAGCACACACACCCGAGCACACACACCCCAGCTCACACACCCGAGCACACACATCCCAGCTCACACACCCCAGCACACACACCCGAGCACACACACCCCAGCTCACACACCCCAGCACACACACCCGAGCACACACACCCCAGCTCACACACCCCAGCACACACACCCGAGCACACACACCCCAGCTCACACACCCCAGCTCACACATCCAAGCTCACACATCCCAGCACACACACACACACAAGCTCACACACCCCAGCACAACCCACCCCAGCCCCCGACAAACACACGCACCGCAGCTCACCCGCTACACACACACACATAAACTAGCTCACACACACACACACCTGCTTATACACCAACATACACCAGCTTACACTCCAACACACACACACACACACAGGTACACAAGCTCACAAACGGCCGAACAACACACAGAGAAACAGACAGAAAGTCGTGAGAAAGAAACACCTGTAGGCAGGCAGAAAGTCGAAAAAGAAATACCTGTAGGCAGGCAGAAAGTCGAGACAGAAACACTTGTAGGCAGCACACAGTCCAGACAGAACACCTGTTCGCAAACAGAAAGTCGTGAGAGAGAAACACATGAAGGAAGGCAGAAAGCCGAGACAGAAACACCTGTAGGCAGGCAGAAAGTCGAAACAGAAAACTTACAGACAGATACACAGATCGTCGATAGACAGAAACATGTAGAGGCAGAAAGTCGAGAGGCAAATAAACAGACAGGCTGAAAGTCGAGAGATAGACAAACCTACAGTCGACACACTGAAAGTCGAGAATGAAAAACAAAAACAAAAACCTGCAGACAGACAGACAATCGAGAGACATAACACTTAGACAGACAGAAAGTTGAAGAGTAACAAGCCTGCAGACTGATAGACCAATAGAAATGTCGTTAAACAATAAGCATGTAGACAGACAGTTTTACAGATATAAAAATTATGAATAGACAGACGGAATAATTGCATTCAGGAGTCAGATAACTTTACCTTGTCTTGTACTCAACTCTTGCTACACGAACCGAGGTGGTCCGGCTCTCCGCCATGTGAATGTACTTCCACACAGATCGGAACACCTCTCGCCTGCTGTCGTACACACTGAGGTATGTGGTGCTGCTAGAGGAGCAGGTTGTCGTGGCTGCAGCGTACAAGTCTACACAGATGCAGAAATATTTAGTCATACATGTTCGGAAACAACAGTTACATGCGCTCACCAAACTAGAGTTCACTGAAACACGTATAACAATTGTGATCTGGTTGTTTTTTTTTTTTGGTGGGTTGGGGGTTGGGAAAGGGGGGGGGGGGGGGGGAGTATTACCTTTCTGTACCCACCTAACATACCTTTCTGATCTTACCGAATATTGGGGTGATAACCTATTGACCTTACGGGACATTGGGGAGTGGGATACCTGACTTACCTTACTGGATAAAAGATGACTACCTTACTGACCTTACTGGACAGAGGGGGAATACCTTACTGACCTTACTGGACAGTGGGGGAATACCTTACTGACCTTACTGGACAGCGGGGGAATACTTTACTGACCTTACTGGACAGTGGGGGAATACTTTACTGACCTTACTGGACAGTGGGGGAATACTTTACTGACCTTACTGGGCAGTGGTGGAATACTTTACTGACCTTATTGGGCAGTGATGAAATACTTTACTGACCTTACTGGACAGTGGTGGAATACTTTACTAACCTTACTGGACAGTGGGGGAATGCTTTACTGAACTTACTGGGCAGTGGTAGAATACTTTACTGACCTTATTGGGCAGTTGTGAAATACTTTACTGACCTTACTGGACAGTGGAGGAATACTTTACAGACCTTACTGGACAGTGGGGAATACTTTACTGACCTTACTGGACATTGGGTGAATACTTTACTGACCTTACTGGACAGTGGTGGAATATTTTACTGACTTGACTGGAGAGTGAGGAAATACCTAACTGACCTTACTGGACAGTGGTTGAATATTTTACTGACCTTACTGGGCTGTAGACCTTACTGACCTTACTTGACAGTGGATGAATACCCCACTGATTTTACCTAATATTTGGGCTATCTTTTTTGATAGACACTGGATGGGAATACTGACATTACCGGACATCGGCCTCACTGGACATTACATGAAATAACTTACTAAGCGTATCAGATGGGGAAAATGGGGGAGGGGGGTGGGTGGGAGAGAGAGAGAGAGAGAGAGAATTCCTTTTTGATCTCACATGACTTTTGGGAAATACCTAATTTCCTACCGAAAATTGAGGGGGTGATGATATGGATTACAGTGCTGACCTAGCCGCAGCTTTCTGATTTCAACGGTCAGTCGGGTAGTGGAGTTACCTTACTGATTATACCGGGCAGTGGGTAGAGGGTAGGAGAGTTATCTTACTGATTATACCGGGCAGTGGGTACAGGGTAGGAGAGTTATCTTACTGATTATACCGGGCAGTGGGTAGAGGGTAGCAGGGTTATTTTACTGATTATACCGGGCAGTGGGTAGAGGGTAGGAGAGTTGTCTTACTGATTATACCGGGCAGTGGGTAATTTGTAGGAGAGTTATCTTACTGATTATACCGGGCAATGGGTAGAGGGTAGGAGAGTTATCTTACTGGTTATACCGGGCAGTCGGTAGAGGGTAGGAGAGTTACCTTACTGATTATACCGGGCAGTGGGAGGAGGGTAGAAGTCTTACTGATTATACCGGATTGTGGGTAGAGGGTAGGAGAGTTGTCTTACTGATTATACCGGGCAGTGGGTAGAGGGTAGGAGAGTTATCTTACTGAATATACCGGGCAGTGGGTTGAGGGTAGGAGAGTTATCGTACTGATTATACCGGGCAGTTGGTAGAGGGTAGGAGAGTTATCTTACTGAATATACCGGGCAGTGGGTTGAGGGTAGGAGAGTTATCGTACTGATTATACCGGGCAATGGGTAGAGGGTAGGAGAGTGATCTTACTGATTATACCGGGCAGTCGGAAGAGGGTAGAAGAGTTGTCTTACTGATTATGCCAGGCAGTGGGTAGAGGGTAGAAGAGTTATCGTACTGATTATACCGGGCAGTCGGTAGAGGGTAGGAGAGTTGTCTTACTGATTATACCGGGCAGTCGGTAGAGGGTAGGAGAGTTGTCTTACTGATTATACCGGGCAGTCGGTAGAGGGTAAAAGAGTTATCTTACTGATTATGCCAGGCAGTGGGTAGAGGGTAGGAAAGTTATCTTACTGATTATACCGGGCAGTGGGTAGAAGGTAGGAGAGTTGTCTTACTGATTATACCGGGCAGTGGGTAGAGGGTAGGAGAGTTGTCTTACTGATTATACCGGGCAGTGGGTAGAGGGTAGGAGAGTTGTCTTACTGATTATACCGGGCAGTGGGTAGAGGGTAGGAGAGTTGTCTTACTGATTATACCGGGCAGTGGGTAGAGGGTAGGAGAGTTGTCTTACTGATTATACCGGGCAGTGGGTTGAGGGTAGGAGAGTGATCTTACTGATTATAACGGGCAGTGGGTAGAGGGTAGGAGAGTGGTCTTACTGATTATACTGGGCAGTGGGTAGAGGTAGGAGAGTTATCTTACTGATTATACTGGGCAGTGGGTAGATAGTAGGAGAGTTATCTTACTGATTATACCGGGCAGTGGGTAGAGGGTAGGAGAGTTATCTTACTGATTATACCGGGCAGTCAGTAGAGGGTAGGAGAGTTATCTTACTGATTATACCGGGAAGTCGGTAGAGGGTAGGAGAGTTACCTTACTGATTATACTGGGCAGTGGGAGGAGGGTAGAAGAGTTATCTTACTGATTATGCCAGGCAGTAGGTAGAGGGTAGGAGAGTGATCTTACTGATTATACCGGGCAGTCGGTAGAGGGTAGGAGAGTTGTCTTACTGATTATACCAGGCAGTGGGTAGAGGGTAGGAGAGTTATCGTACTGATTATACCGGGCAGTGGGTAGAGGGCAGGAGAGTGATCTTACAGAATTATACCGGGCAGTGGGTAGAGGGTAGGAGAGTTATCGTACTGATTATACCGGGCAGTGGGTAGAGGGTAGGAGAGTTATCTTACTGATTATACCGGGCAGTGGGTTGAGGGTAGGAGAGTTATCTTACTGATTATACCGGGCAGTGGGTAGAGGCTAGGAGAGTTATCGTACTGATTATACCGGGCAGTGGGTAGAGGGTAGGAGAGTTATCTTACTGATTATACCGGGCAGTGGGTAGAGGGTAGGAGAGTTATCTTACTGATTATACCGGGCAGTGGGTAGAGGGTAGGAGAGTTGTCTTACTGATTATACCGGGCAGTCGGTAGAGGGTAGGAGAGTTATCTTACTGATTATACCGGGCAGTCGGTAGAGGGTAGGAGAGTTACCTTACTGATTATACCGGGCAGTGGGTAGAGTTATCGTACTGATTATCCACCAAGTGAATGGGTGGGGTAAAACATTTTACTGATTACATCAAATTTAGTGCCTTGAATTTAAAAGCTGTTCTTGTACAATTATGTGTTGTTGATTCCAAAAATATAATAATACTCGTTTCTATCCGATCTAGTTTTTGAGATGATAACTGAGAAATACATTCTTAGTAGGGCAGTTATGATTTACAAGCCTAGAGTCATGTGTAGTTTTTGACGTTAATCTGCAATAATATTAAATACAGTTAATGTACATTTTGGCGTCTGTGGCTTAGGCGTTGAGAGCGAGCTTCGCAATGCCGGAGTGCTGTGGGATTTGCACCTTGCGTTGGTTTCGACAGTGATACCGAGAAGCTGACCGTCCAGAAAGCAATGTCAAACTACTGGATGTAAATTTGTCTATTAAACCCACAACAGCCAAAAAAATGCTGCGGTTGGTTCTGCAATACCCTGTAATGAATATGCTACCAACTAACTGTACATTATTGCCTTTATATCAAACACCAACAAACGGATGAAAACTTTATCACTAGCATTTGTTTATCAATAGCTCACACAGATAAATCTTCGTATCGATGACATCCTGTGATGGGATAGATGCCCGGACAGTCACGCTTAAGTGTTCAACAGTAATCTGCCATCTTGTGGGTATCCCAAAGCCCCTGTTATTTTTCTTCGATTGTTGTCATATCTAGATGAAATCTTCCACCTTGTTCGTCACAAAAGTCGAAAAGATTCTCCGGAAAGAAATGTAAATAGGTATGTTCATGTGACATCTAAGCTTATCAAAATTCAACCGCATGTTTCCAAGTAATTCAAAAAAAAAAAAAAAAATTGTCGGCTTCAAAGTTACCGAGAAAAAGTTGCCCAACTGAAACAAATGATGAAAGGTTGTGGACTCTGTTTTGTCCATCGAATCAATAAAACTTTGATTGTTTATTAACATTTTAATTTGAAGTCCATCAAAAATTCCTGCCTTAATTTGTCTATGCTTAATTCCATTCAACGGTCACAGGTTTCCAACACATGTTTTGCAAACAACATGAGGATTCAAAGACCTGTCCTGATCATCTAGTTTTACTGTAAAGTAAGCAATGTGAGCCTATATGAGACAATAGCTTGAATCATTACAGAATTCACCTTTATTTTTGTTCCGGGAGAAGCAGGCGTCGATGGAAATGAAAGAGCTGACAGGTTGGCTGGATCCGCTATCACTATCGACGGTCAGCCTATGGATCATGCTGATATTATTATTGCCCTCAGAGAAATAGGAAGGATAGAGGACTTTGGTGGCAGTGAATCCACATCACTCGCCAGAATGGCAGACTTGGGAATTAAGATCGGCATAGCAACAACAACAAAAACGAGACGCACACCAGACACGACAGAAGACTTGTTAATCAACATAGAATTGGTACTATTAGCCATCGGACGTTGGGGTTCATATTGAGGGGAGGATCTGAGCACCTATGAACATGTCCGGAGTACAATGATGATACCCCAACTAACTAACTAACTAACTAACTAACTAACTAACTAACTAACTAACTAACTAACTAACTAACTAACTAACTAACTAACTAACTAACTAACTAACTAACTAACTAACTAACTAACTAACTAACTAACTAACTAACTAATGTGAGCCTATTTCACAAAAACAGTAATATGTTTTCCGTATTCTTCTTTCAAAGTGTATTCTCAAAATACAACAAAATAAATCCCGTGAAAGAAAACTT